TAGTGATACTGCCTCGGAAACCCAAGGAGGGGTCGCTATGAGTCAGGGCTGACTCGACGGCACATAACAACAACAACAACAACAACAAGAATGACTTCACCTCCTGCAGATGACTTGCCTCCATCTTTAATTCTCTCTGACACAACCACAAAGGGCCTCTTATTGGCATTTAGATTGCCAAAAATTAAGAGTGGTAGTTCTACTTCTTTGGAATGCATATGCTAGAAGATACCAACCACATCACCACAGTTTCTTTGTGCTTTTTCTCTTCTTTGGTCAAATCAGAAAGAAAACTTTTTCTCCAAACACCAGCTTCCCCATTTATTAGCTTAAAAGTCTTTTCAACTGACAGATAAATTGCTATGTTAAAAACCACAATAAAACTTGAACTTCATGCCCTGCATTCTTTCCTGACAAACACAGTTAAATGTTTCTTTTAAGATTTCTGTTGTTGTTGTTATGTGCCATCAAGTCAGTTTCAAAGCACAGTGACTTTACGTCCAACAAAATGAAACACTGCCCACCACCTACACCATCCTCATAATCATTGCCCTGCCTGAGCCCACAGTCACAGCCACGGTGTCACTCCATCTCATTGAGGGTCTTCCCCTTTTTCACTGACCCTCTACTTTACCCAGCATGATAATCTTTCTCCAGGGAATTGTGCCTTCTGACAATGTGACCAAAGTAAGAAAGAAGTCTGGGATTCTCATTTCTAAGGCACATTCAGCTGTAATTCCTACAAGACAGATCTGTTTTCCTTTTAATGGTCAATGGTACATTCAGTACTCTTTGCCAAAACCACAATTCCAATACATCAATCCTTCTGCAGTCTTCCTTATTCATTGCCCAGCTCTAACATGCATACATATTTTAAAAAAAAAAGCATTGCAATCGAGTTGATTCTGACTCATTGCAGCCCACACTGGGTTTCCAAGACTGTAAATCTTTATGGAAGTAGATTGTCCTATCTTCCTTCTGTGGAGCAATTGGTGGTTTGAACTGCCAACTTTCTTGTTAACAGTCAAATGTCTTAGGCATTGCACCACTAGAGTTCCTTAACGTGTATATAAGGCTGTTGAAAATACCATGGTTAGGCTCAGATGCACCTTAGTCTTCAAAGAGACATCTTTGTTCTCAAACACTTTAACAAGGTCCTTTACAGCATATGTGCCCAAGGCAAAACATTTGATTTCTTGACTGCTGCTTCCATAGGCATTGTATTAATTGGAGTTTGTGTCAACTTGGCTGACCACAATTCAGCAGTTGTGATGTGGGTTATTCCCATGATGAGATCAGATATATATGTTTTGAGCAGCCAATCCACTGAAAGGGAGTTTCCCTAGGGGTGTGGCCTGCTTCCAATATATTTATGGGCATCCTGGGAAAATGATACACTTTTCTGTGGATATGGATCCTGTTGTGCTGCCTACAACTGTCCTTGAGCAAACAATCCACCATTCGGCCTGGAGATTCTGGATTCGTCATTTGTCAGAGTCAACAACTGGTATACTGCCTGCCAACCTTGAGCTCGTCAGCCCCTGTAGCTGCATGAGTCGGGAAAAGTTTCCAGCTTGATATTTGATCCAAGAACTTGGGACTTCCCAGCTTCTATAAGTGTGTAAGCCATTTTCGTAAGATAAATTTCTATATAAATATACATATATAACCTTTACTGGTTTTATTTCTCTAGAGAACCCAGCCTAACATATTTGGTACTGAGAGTGGTTCTAGAGAGACTAAATCATAAGAATGGCTTCCTAAATTGGTTCTCACCAATTTGATTGATCATAAAGGCATGAGTAACTCTGTCTCCATTAGCAAAGAGGGACCTGCTAATTTATGGTGTGAAGTGGCAACATTAATATGCAAAATAGCACCACCAATAGATCAAGTATTTTTAAGAAGTGAGGCTCTAGGTGATCGCATATTTGATACTTTTCTGCAATTTTGTCAGCATGAGGAGTATAAGGAAGCTGGTTGGTTGGTCCTACTTACGATAAACAAAGTGGTAAAAGAGCGAGATGAGTTCAGGGCTGCTGAGTCACAGCTCAAGCACCGAATAAAAAACCTCAGTGTTTCCAGTTGTGCTCTGAAAGAAAGCCTTATTTCTTCTAGTAACAGAGCTGATGTTGCCGAAAAACAAACCCAGAGTCTTATCATAAGGGTGGTCAGTCTTCCATCTTCTTTTGATGCTTCCTGCATAGTTCAATATTTTGCCCACAGAATCCTTCCATACTGTAACTTGAGGCTTGAATTTTTTCCTTTAGTTCTTTCATCTTGAGAAATGCTGAGTGTGTTCTTCCTCTTTGATTTTCCAACTCCAGGTCTTTGCACACATCATTATAATACTTTACTTTGCCCTCTCAAGCTGCCCTTTGAAATCCTCTGTTCAGTTCTTTTACTTCATCATTTCTTCCATTTACTTTAGCTACTCTACACTGAAGAATAAATAAGAATTAAATCTAAAATGCTTCTTTGAAAATGGACTGCCCTATATGAAAAAGTCAAACAATAGCTATAAAAACAATGAGCTTATTCAAATATACTTTAAAATTAAAGTGTCTAGTAGATAAATGTAGGAGCTCTGGGGTGTAGTGCCTAAAGCATTTCATTGTTACCAGAAGGGTGGTAATTCAAATCCACCAGCCACTCCTCAGAAGGAATATTGGGCAATCTACCGTAGAGATACCACCACGGAAACTGAAGGAGGGGTTACTATGAGTAGATAAATGGTCAAAAACTGAAAGATAATTATCAAGAAAGGAAATAAAAACAGTAAACACACATAAAAGGAAAGGTCAGATCAAAGAAATGAAGTTAAAATGAGAAGCCATTATGTGAAAGCTGAATTATGAAAAAAAAAAAATTAAGAAATAATAATATCTAAATTATAATAGCTTACAGTGACTTGGTACATGCTGGCCATCACCTTCAAAACAGGAGTACCCATGTGGGAATCAAGTTGACAATACATATCAAGAGAAATAAAGTACTTGTATCCCTTGATTCAGTAACCCACACCTTGAATTTTTATCCACAGGAAATAAAAAGAAAAAAGTAGTATTCCTGAAGATATTAAGTCAGTATTTACAATAGAAAAATAATTGGAAATAATTAGAATAATACTATAAATATTAAAGAAATTTTAGTGCATATACTACATTCAAACCAAACCACCTCATTGCCATTGAGTGTATTCCAACTTGTAATGACCCCATTGGGTTTCCAAAGCTGTAAATTTCTGTGGAAGCAGACTGCCTCATCTTTCTTTCACTGAGTGGCTGATGGGTTCAAACCAATGACCTTTTGGTTAGCAGCCATATGCTTTAACCACCACACTACCAGAGCTCCTTATATATACCACATAGGAAATTATTAAATAAATAAACTGCCATCAAGTCAATTACAACTCATAGCAACCCTACAGGACAGAGTAGAACTGACCCGTCAGGCTTCTAAGGTTGTAAATCTTTACAGAAGAAGACTGCCACATCTTTTTCCCACAGAGTGGCTGGTAGGTTCAAACTGTTACTGGGTTAGTAGCTAAATACTTTAACCAGTGTACCACGAATTCTCCTCAGTATTTTATACAAAAAACAAACTCACTGCTGTTGAGTCAGATCTGACTCATAGTGATCCTTCTTTGGGTTTCCAAGGCAGGATCACTACAGAAGTAGATTGCCCAACCTTCCTTCCAAGGAGTAGCTGGTGGGTTTGAACCACCAGCCTTCTGGTTAGCAGTCACATGCCTTAGGCACTATACCACCAGAGCTCCCTAGTATTTTACACAGCCTTTTAAAATGCCAGGATGCAAGAGGGGCTGACTGAGATGATTTGTACAATCTCTTCCACCTATAAATACTATGGTCTCCATATGGCATCTACTCCATGAGATGCATAATGTTAATTCCCAAACACAGTACACCTACACTAGTCAAGTTCAGATTCTCACTGTCCCCGTAAATAACTGTTTATTCCCATTTCCATGCTATGACCATGATTTGGCCCCTAAGTTAGTGTTTTTCCTTTTCTCCCTGTCTAATCAGTTAGTGTTTTTCCTTTTCTCCCTGTCTAATCAAATCTGACACATTATCCCAAGGCCATTCAAAAAGACAGAAGTGGTACTCAATCTTTTCTATATCCCACTGTACTTGAACCACAGTAGGCATTCAGGACATGGGTGTTGAATGAAAAAAGAACAAATATATATATATATATATATATTTATATTTATATATATAACAACTAATATTTACTGAGGGCCTAATGCTAGGACCGTTCTAAAGCCTTTACATGTAATTCATTTAATCCCCTCCTCTACCATTACTTCCTTTTTAATAATTATCACAAGCTACAATTATTTTATTTATTATATAATTTCTCCACTAGAATATAGATTATAGAACATAATCTCTATCTATCTTGTTCACATAACAAGTACTTATTTGTTGGATGTATCATTAAATGGTCAATCATTAGAAATCTAATTGTTGTTGTTGTTGCTGTTGTTTGCCGTCGAGTCGGCCCCGACTCATAGCGACCCCTCCTTGGGTTTCCGAGGCAGTATCACTACGGAAGTAGGATTGCCCAACCTTCCTTCCGAGGAGTGGCTGGTGGGTTTGAACCGCCAGCCTTCTGGTTAGCAGTCAAGTGCTTTAGCCACTATGCTACCAGAGCTCCTAGAAGTCTAATTAGTAGTCCATAAAAGAATCCTTTGGAAGTCAAATGATTTACTGTGGATTAACAACTGATTCACCAACTTGAAAATACTTTATATAATAGATTTAATGCATGTTTAACATTACTTTATTTGTAGAAACATAATAAAACTATCATTTAGTACACATAAAATAGGAGCCCTGGTGGCATAGACATTTGACTGCTAACCAGAAGGCTGGCAGTTCAAACCCACCAGCCACTCCTTGGAAGGAAGTTTGGGCAATCTACTTCTATAGTGATACCTCGGAAACCCAAGGAGAGGTCACTATGAGTTGGATCCTACTCAATGGCAGTGGGTAGCCACTCCTTGGAAGGAAGATTGGGCAATCTACTTCCATAGAGATACCGCCTTAGAAACCCAAGGAGGGGTTGCCATGAGTTGGAACTGACTTGACTGCAGTGAGTTTTTTTTAACATATAAAATAAGGCATCTGCAAAATATACCAACATAATACAGTATGGCATTATAAAAAGACTATATTCACTGTAAGGAATACCCACTTAACAATTATAATATTTTTTAGTAAAAAGAAATTTTTATGTAAGAATTATCTTATAGGAAACCAAAAAATAAGTGAGTTTTTAATATAATAATATCTGGAATTTTAAACATTTGCCTTGAAAATATAGTTTTAATAACAGGATGACTATAAGTCACATCCCAATAATATAATGATTTGACTATAAGTCAAATACTAATAAAATGCATTCTCCTATATATTTGATTTAATCTGTGAATTAAACTGTAAGCTGATACTGACTCCTTTTAGTGTAGTAGCTATCCAGTCTTATAAATTAGTATTCTTAAATTTTACCTGATATGAGGAAAAAATATATGTTGGTGAGGAAAAAATTGTCCCCTCTTCTTTTACAACGACTACAGCATTACACTTACTCCTCACTTATCGACTATCAATTATTCAGCATTTGCATTTAGGAAAATAGTAAAAAAAAAAAAATCTACTATCCAACTATTTTGCACATTAATGATACTCATCTGGCAATAATGAATGTCAAATTATGAGGTGAGAGTGATGCTGCCTGGTAGTTAAGGTTACACGTCAATTTGGCTGGGTCATGATTCTTAGTGGTTTCATAGTTATATAATGATGTAATTTGGCAGTTATGTAATTATTTAATTTGGCAAGTATGTAATGATGTAGTCATCCTCCATTTTGTGATCTGATGTGATCATCCTCTGTTTTCGTGTAACACCAATTTTTGCCTAACAATCTGGTCTCCAGACATGTCAGTAAGTGAGGAGTGGGTATACTAATTAACAATACCAAGTTCAACAGCTCACCAAAGTAATTGCCTATAATATGGCAAGTTACCACCCCAACATATACTGTAGATCCATAACAGATATGATTTTAAAGGGATATATAAAATGTGCTTCTGGGCTCAGCAGTAGATGTATATACTCACACTAAGTAGCATTAGAAAGCTACCATGCTCAAATAATATTTGAGCATAGAATATGCTTAAATATTATGATTTATTTAAAAGAAAATAAATCCTCCTAAATGGTATAAGAAGATAGGATGAAAGATAATAACAGTCATCAGCATGGTGAGAAAACACTGAATGTGTTTTCCACCCAAAATGGATGTGAGAAGAGACTCTGAAACTTGCTCTTGAATGTAAAGTGTTGTTGTTGTTGTTGTTATGTGCCATCGAGTCAAACCCGACTCATAGCAACCCCTCCTTGGGTTTCCGAGGCAGTATCACTAGGGAAGTAGGATTGCCCAACCTTCCTTCCGAGGAGTGGCTGGTGGGTTTGAACCGCCAGCCATCTGGTTAGCAGGCAAGTGTCTTAGCCACTATGCTACCAGAGCTCCCTGAATGTAAAGTAGCTAAAGCAAATAAACACTAAACCCAATGTCTAGCATCTGGGTTCTGATTCCAGTTCTGCCAGCAGGTGGCTTCATGACCTTGAACCAGTAATTTAAATACTCTGAACTCTTTTCTCTCTCTCTGTAGCAGAAAAAGACTAACGATTTCTAAAATCCTTTCCAGGTTCTGAGACTCTACAACTCTTCTGTCAGAAATTGCTCATCTTTCTCCTTACTTTCATTTTCAGTCCCAACATAGAAAGTCCCAGAAGAGAATTTATGGTCACTAAGAACAGCCAGGAAAGCTTCAAAGAGATGTGGAACAGGGCCTGAAGGAGTAGTGAGACTCAGAAAGGCAAAGTGCAAGACAGTAGGAGAAGAAAAACAGCAGGAGAGAGAAAGGGAATAAGGGACAGGACTATTTCTAACACCCTTCCTGTGGGCGTCTTCCATGCTGCTCACAAAATAGTTCCCTTTGCGGTTGGGAAGGGCCATGTGACCAGTTCTGACATGTGAAAAGAGACCTATGTCATTTACATGCTGAGCTTTATTGTCTTCTTCGGGGCTCTCTTTTTTCTCCCCTGCCAGAACAAACAGCAATTTTCTAAATGAGGGCTGCTGCTCAGGCAACCCTGAGTCACCATCAGAGCACAGCCTCCCAGATAACTGCAACAACATGCAACTCAAGAGGGAAATAAATTGTTGTTTTAAGCCAAGATGCAGGGGCTCTTCACTGCTACCATCTAACCTAGCTCCTGAACACTCTTGGAGGTGAAACCTTAAGTTGATGAGAAAGGTGCCTCCACCTTCTTTTCTACCTCAAAGCTTTCTAAGTTAACAATGAACACAGACAAGGGCCCATGCAGAGCTACTCAGAGGCCTGTTCATTTGCAAGAGTGTGCTCATGTGTACCTTGCCCCGGCTCTTCAGCCCCTTGTCCTTTTAAAGTTACAAAACTGAAATTGTGCTAAGACACAAAAGTTTGAGAAAGGGAGGAAATGAGGCCATGTCCAAATTGGAGAAAACATTCTCCTCTGTGTTTGCCCATTCATACAGAGAAATGGGGCCAGGATTTAATATTTAGTGGTGATATTTAAAAGATATAAAGGTACAAAAGAAATATACTACAGAAAGAGCCTTCAACAGAGATGACATTCTTAGACTTACAGTTTGTGCTTCTCTTAGGTTAACTCTTTGCTTTGGTCTAAAGAAAGCTTTATTTTTTCTTCTAGATTCAAATACTCCTCTTTTGAAGATCATCACTGCCATCTGCCTCAGAAAGAAGAATTTTATATGAAGAAATAGTGGCATGTACATTCCAACTAATGATATTAAGTATTTAATCAACTACAGGGTGCTGTAAATTTCTTATATTTCATGAAATTTTTATACCTTTATTGTGGCCTCTCTATAACATCTTCTAGATTCTTCCTGTGGTTGTGAGGAACTCATTAATTCCAGTTGTCTCAGCTCATCAATTTTAGCTAAAGCACGCCGAGCAAATGACTAAATGGGATTAAAATAAATTTAATTCATAATAAGTAAGAGTATACTGATTAAAAATGTATCAGAACAGTATGTTTTATTCTCCCAGACATTGGCTTTAATTGGTGAACTCTAGGCTGATATTGACTCCTTATAACACAGTAGCTACCCAGCCTATCATTTCCTATGAGTACCATTTTACTCAGTATATCTTAAGTTAATAAATTGTCAGATATGTTAACTTTATGACTTAAGAAATTCAAAAAAGCAAAGAAACAAGAATTCTAGGTTAAATAGTACCATAATACAGATGATCACTTCTCTGACATTACACACACACGCACAAACACAAATAACCCTCCTCAGTGCTCATCTCATATCCTAACCTCCCTACCATAACATGCTATATTTCAACAACTATCTATTGAATTTTTCATATTACCCGCTAAACTGTGAGGTCATGAAAGGGCCTTGTTCATTTCTGTATCTCTACCCATTGTTGTCTACTTGATTCCAATTCATAGCAACCCTCTCGGACAGAAGCGAACTGACCCACAGGGTTTCCAAGGCTATGAATCTTTACAGAAGCAGTTTGACACATCTTTCTCCTATGGAGTGCTTTGGGGGTCTGAACGTGTGGCCTTTTGGTTCACAGCTGAGCACTTAACCACTGTGCCACCTGGACTCTTTCTCTGTATCTCTAGTACCAGAATTGGGAGATGCTGAATAAATATCTGAAGAAAGAAGGAAGGAAGTAGTGTTACATATTATAACATTCTAGAAATAATAACTAAGAGATGAATTCATGTCATATATTTTATCAGTTCTTTGGAATTTTTAATTTGTAACTTATAATTTTTCATGAAGATTCCCTAGACCACAATAATATCATATATGAACAAATAAATTTTCCAATAAGGATAATTCCAGTAGAAATCATATGGTCAAAACTATGCAAATGTTCCATTCTCTAATCATTTTAATAACTAGAGAACGAACTATGTCACCACTAGTACACTTAACCACCACTGTTCTATCAGTTTCTCATACTGTGGTGGCTTTCATGTTGCTGTAATGCTGTAAGCTATGCCAGCAGTGTTTCAAATACCAGCAGAGCCACCCATGGTGGTCAGGTTTAAGCAGAGCCTCCAGGCTAAGACAGTCTAGGAAGAAGGATCTAGCTATCTACTTCTCAAAACATTGGCTAGTGAGAACCTTATGCATAGCAGCAGAACATTGTCTTATACAGTTTTGGAAGATGAACCTTTCAAGTTGGAAGGCACTCAAAATATTATTAGGAAAGAGCTGCCTCCTCAAAGTACAGTCAACATAAAAGATGTGGATGTAGTAAAGCATTAGGACCTGCATTTGTGGATGTGGTACAACTCAAAATGAGAACAGACACCTGAAAACATTCATTAATAACCAGAACGTAGAATATACAGAGTATGAATCTAGGAAAATTGGAAGCCATCAAAAATGAAATGCAAGGCTTGAAGACAGATATCCTAGGCATTAGTGAGCTGAAATGGACAGGTATTGGCCATTTTGAATCAGATAAGCATATGGTCTACTATGCCAGGGATGACACACTGAAGAGGAATGCTGTTGGTTTCATCATCAAAAAGAACATTTAAAGATCTATCCTGAAGTACAATGCTGTCAGTGATAAAATAATATATCCATATACCTACAAAGAAGTTAATACAACTACTATTCAAATTTACCCAAAGACAATGCCAAAGATGAAGAAACTAAACATCCTTATCAAGTTCTGCGGTCGAAGTTGATTGAACATGTGAAAGCTGGTAACAAGAAGAAGGATCAGTAGTTGGAAAATATGGCCTTGGTGATAGAAATGACACTGAAGATTGCATGATATAATTTTGCAAGATCAATTACTTATACATTGCAAATACCTTTTTTCAACAATGTAAACAGGGACTATACACACGGACCTTGCCAGATGAAATCCAAAGGAATCAAATCGATTGCATTTTTAGAAAGAGACAATGGAGAAGCTCAATATCATCAGTCAGAACAAGGCCAGGAGCCAGCTATTTAACAGACCATCAATGCTCACATGCAAGTTCAAGCTGAAGCTGAAGAAAATTAAAACAAGTCACAAGAGCCAAAATACAACCATGAGTATGTCCCAACAGAATTTAGAGACCATCTGAAAAATATATTTGATACAATGACACTAATGATGAAAGACCAGAAGAGTTGTAGGATGACATCTAGGACATCATACAGGAAAAAAGCAAAAGGAAATTTAAAAAGAAAAGAAAGAAAGAAAAGACCAAAATGGATGTCAGAAGAGACTCTGAAACTTGCTCTTGAATGTAAAGTAGCTAAAGCAAATAAAAGAAATGATGAAGTAAAAGAGCTGAATAGAAGATTTCAAAGGTTGACTCAAGAAGACAGTATTATAATGAAATGTGCAAAAACCTGGAATCAGAAAACCAAAGGGGAAAACATACTCAGCATTTCTCAAAATGAAAGAACTAAAGAAAAATTCAAGTCTCAGGTTTCAGTATCAAAGGATTCAATGGATAAAATGTTGAATATGCAGAGTCAGTGTACCCAAAAGAACTGACTGACATTCAATCATGTCAAGAGGAAGCACATGATCAAGAACCAATGGTATTGAAGAAGAATGTCCCAGCTGTACTGAAGGCACTGGCAGAAAAAAAAAAAAAAAAAAAACACAAGGCTAAAGGGATTGATGGAATACCAACAGAAATGGTTCAACAAACGGATGAAATGCTTGAAGTGCTCATTTATCTATGCCAAGAAATTTGCAATTCAACTACCTGGCCAACTGACTGGAAGAGATCCATACTGGTGCCCATTCCAAAGAAAGGTGATCCAACAGATGACAAAAATTATCAAACAGTATCATTAATATCATATACAAGTAAAATTTTGCTGAAAGTAATTAAAAAATGGTTGCAGCAGTCAACAGGGAACTGCCAGAAATTCAAGTCGGATTCCGAAGAGGACGTAGAATGAGGAATATCACTGCTGATGCCACGTGGATTCTGGCTGAAAGCAAAGAATACCAGAAAGACATTTACTTGTGTTTTTCTGACTATCCACAGTTATTTGACTGTGAATCATAGCAACTTATGGATACCATTGCCAAGAATGGGAATTTCAGAACATTTAATTGTGCTCAGGTGGAACCTTTGCATAGATCAAGAAGCAATAGTTTAAACAGAAAAAGGGGATATTACATGTTTTAAAGTCAGGAAAACTGTATATCAAAGTCACATCTTCTCACCACATTTATTCAAGCTGTATACTAAGTAAATAATCCATAAAGCTGGACTATATGTAGAAGAATGTAGCATCAAAATTGGAGGGAGACTTATTAACATTCTGCTATATGCAGATGACACCACCTTGCTTGCTAAAAATGAAGAAGATTTGAAGCACTTACTAATGAATATCAAAGACTACAGCTTCCTGTATGCATTACACCTCAACATAAAGAAAACAAAAATGCTCACCACTGGACCAAAAAGCAACTGTTCTGGTTACCTAGTGCCACTCTGACATGAGCATACCACAGATGGGATGGCTTTAACAAACAGGAGTTTATTCTCTTGCAGTCTTGAAAGCTAGAAGTCCAAATTCAAAGTGCCAGGCTCTAAGGGCTGGGTGAAAGTCTCTCAACCTTGGGCTTTAGCTCTGTCTCTTGCTCCTGGCCCACTGAAGCTAGAGGCACCTCTTCACTCAGGCAGCTGCTGGCTGCTGAGGCTGACAAGCCAAAGGTCGACAAAAAGGCACAGTCCCGCTATTACCAAACCACACGGCAGGCCATTGATTCAAGTCCCATTAACATTCCCAAGATCGGCAGACAACATGGCAGGCTGCTTAACAACAAATTGACTTACGTGCAAGAGTCAAGCAAGCTAGAGACTGTCCTCAAAACTGCTTCTTATATACTAGAAGCTGACCACATTGCTAAAGCAGCTACTCAGCTGTCCCCCGAGATTCCACCATGGAACTGACTGCCAGTCTCACCATATGGAATAACTACATCCAGCTACCCAGCCACTCAACCAGGCCCAGCCAAGTTGACACACAACCTTAACCACCACAGCAACATTAAGATAAATGTAGAAAATATTGAAGTTGTCAAGGATTTCATTTTACTCCCACGGAAACAGCAGTCAAGAAATCAAATGATACATTGGACAAATTTGCTGTAAAAGATCTCTTTAAAGTGTTAAAAACCATAGATATTGAGGACTAAGATGCATCTGACCCAACCCATGTGTGGTATTTTCTGTCACTTCACATGCATGTGAAAGTTGGACAATGAATAAGGAAGACCAAAGAAGAACTGATGCCTTTGAATTATCATGCCGGCGAAGAACACTGAATAGACAGTGGACTACCAGAAGAAGGAACAAATTAGTCTTGGGAGGCGTACAGCCAGAATGCTCCTTAGAAGCAAGGCTGGCAAGACTTCATCTCACATGCTTTGGATATATTATCAGGAGGCACCAGGCCCTGGAGGAGATCATGCTTGGTAAAATAGAGGGCTAGCGCAAAAAAGGTAGTCTCTCAATGAGATGGGATAGCACAGTGGTTCAAACAATGGGCTCAAACATAGCAAAGATTGTGAGGAAGGTGCAGGACCAGGCAGTGCTTCATTCTTATGTACAAAGGGTTTCTATGAGTCAGAACTGACTCGGCACCTAACAACAACAACAGGAATACATTAAATTATATATATATTTGTTGTTGTTTAAAAAAAAAAAACTCATTGCCATCAAGTCGGATCTGACTCACTGCAACCCCTCCTTGGGTTTCTGAGACGTTATCACTATGGAAGTAGATTGCCCAACCTTCCTTGTGAGAAGTGGCTGCTGTTGTTAGGTACCATCAAGTCAGGACACATACACACATCTCATATAACACATTACTCACAAGGACTTAATTAATTAGGCTATTCCCCTGCCTATGTCCCACCACCATTAGTTTGAACAGGAAAAACTAAACATAAAGGAACCATTAATAGGCCACATGATCTATAAATTATCACAAACAGGATGTCAACAGTTCGTACAGTTGCAAAGGTTATATCCTTCCCATCAAGGGGTTGAGTAAAGGCTGAAATACAGCCTGCACTCCACTCACCATACCATGCATCTCTGGTGTATGTGGTGTTGGTCCAAAGGACCAAAGACTAAAATCCATTGATGTCAAGTTGATTCTGACTCATAGCAACCCCAAGGATGGAGAAGAATTCTCCCATAGGGTTTCCAAGGGTGTAAATCTTTACAGAAGCATACTGTCGCTTTCTCCCGTGGAGCAGCTGGTGAGTTGAATCATTGACATTTCTGTTAACAACAGAGTGCTTTAACTACTGCACCACCAGGGATTCTCCTGGCCCAAAGGTACAGGTTCTTGTTTCTAATTCTCCCCAAGGCCCCAGCCACTGACTGAGTCATGTACCAATAGGCTGCATCACTGCAGAGGCAAGACCCTTTCAAATTTATACAGAGGTAGTATCTAGACCAATAGAAATCCCAACTAATAAATTACATTTCAAGTATTCAGTCTAAAACATATACAGGAAAAGAGGAAAAACAAGAAACAGAATATATCAAGTGGTGGCCAACAGCAGAGAGAAGCAACATAAATGCATAGTAGGTGGTATGGAGTACAAAGCTAAACAGGGAGGAAAGGGGGCCTGCACACAAGAACAAAATGAGGAAGTACAGATAAAACACATATAGCAAACAAAAGAAGCAAGGAAGGTAGAACAGAGAAGAAAGAAGAAAGTAGAGCACAGAGCAAGAGATCAACAGAGTAGAGAAGCCAAGACAATTTCTGCAAATAAAGCATTCAACTTTTGCCTTCGTTTCATTTGTTTTGTTTCCTTGTTGGGCATCTAAATGATAATATGCTCACTAAGGTGTGTTTTAAAATAGTGGAACCCTCACAATTCAAGAGTGACATACCTCCCCGTGAATGCCAACTTGGCAGTCATAGTAGCACTGGCAAACAGCAGTGTAGAGAGTGGCTCTCCACGTCAAGTATCTGACAGACAGGAGTGGGACTGAGGACTCCATACACATGCTGGCCCACAGGAGGTATTCTAAAGCCTGAGAAGAAAAAGGAACTTTTGAATTTATTTTCATTTTAAGCTAATAATAATTTTAACTTAATATAATCAGATTATAATTGGTGAGCACAAAGTACTAACTACTTAAACAAAAAATACAGAGAAACAATGAATCAAGAAAAAACAATCAGTTATAAAGTGAAAGTTAATAATTTAGAGGACTCAAAATCTCAAATTAGGTTTTTTTAGGATGCTTTTTTCTGCTTAATTCAAAAGTCACCCTACGAACTCAGCTCATTATTATTAATATTTATTCAGAGTCAACAGTGGTCTAGGATGTAACTACAAATAACACAATCATTATTTTTTGGTGTAGAATCATTATTTTATGGAGAAGACTTACAACCTGGGACCAGTGATGCTAAAAAAAAAACTGTCCGAGAGTAGAGTCAAATAAACCTTGGTTTTGGTCCCAATTTTATCACCTAGTAGTTGTGTGGTTTAACCTCTCTACCTCAATTTTGTCTTCCATAAAATGAGTATTATATCCCAGCAATGGGGAAGAGACAACATACGTGATGTGCTAGGATGCCATCTAGCAAACATTATACACTCCATAAAAATAAAAAAAATTAAAAAAAAAAAAAACCTGTTGCTATAGAGTTGTTTCCTACTCATAGGACAGAGTAATACTGCCCCATAGGACTTGCAAGGCTGTAAATCTTTATAGAAGCAGACTGCCACATCTTTCTCCTGTGGAGAGACTGGTGGGTTCAAATTGTCAACTTTTCAGTTAGCAGCCAAGGGATTAACCACTAGACAACCAGAACCCAAGCAGTCCATAGATGATGTTATTAAGAGTATCATTATTTGTAAGGTACAATTTGAAACATAATGGTGGAAAACTTATCATCACTGTTACTGGCCTATCTGTAAGAATGTATATAAATATACACATACACACACACACACACACACACACACACATAAACCAAACTCATGGCCATCTAGTTGATTTTGACTCATAGCAACCCCTTTTGGGTTTCCAAGGTGGTAAATCTTTACGGAAATAGATTGCCCAGTCTTCCTTCCATGCCAACCTTTGACCCACCAGCCTTCTGGTTAGCAGTCAAATGCCTTAGGCACTACACTACCAGAGCTCCATATATATACACATATATGTTATTGTTGTTGTTGTTATATGCAGTCATGTCAGCCCTGACTCATAGCAACCCCTCCTTGGGTTTCCGAGGCAGTATCACTACAGAAGTAGAATTGCCCAACCTTCCTTCCAAGGAGTGGCTGGTGGGTTTGAACCACCAGCCTTCTGGTTAGCAGTCAAGTGCCTTAGGCACTATGCTACCAGAGCTCCATATACGTATATAGAGAGAGATATAGATAGATAGATACATAGATACATAGAAAAATAGAGATAGAAATGTACATGTAGTACAGCTTCTTTTACTATCCTCACTGAGTGACTTTTCCCTATAAATCCCCTGATAATTCTTTTTTCACATATTCTTCCCACAAACCCTATAACCGAGAAACACCAGAAGACAATTTTAGCCATGAAAAGGATTTCCTTCACCTGAAATGAAATCTACTTTGATATATCTCCAGTGTGTCAACCCTAGTTATGCCTTCTGAAACAGCACAAAAACAATCTAAAGCTTACTTCCAAATTACTGCTTTCTAAGAATCTGAGCACATCTACACAGCCAGCCCCCATCCCAGCTCTCTCTCTCTCCAGGGTAAAAATTCCCAAGTACTTCTACACAGAAATGCACTTCCGCTCTCCACTGTGGTTGATCTTCTATGGCTTTGCTCCGAGTGGCCAATACCCCTCTAGAACGTGTGACTAGATCAGTACAGTGGAACTCTCAGTCTCTGGTCTGGACGCTATCGTAGGTTGACCTGAGAGTACTTTATTGTTGTTTTTTGCTGTTGCTGTAATTGTTGCTTGGTAACCTTGCCACACTTTTAACTAATATACAATTAAAAGTTAAAAAAAAAACTTCAGTTCTTTTCATATCTGCTTGCTGCTCCCTAACAGCCCATATTTTGGATTTTTGCATTTGGATTGTTCTGTTTTGGGGGTATGGTATTAAGTTATACTTAACATTTCTTTAAATTCACATGTTCTTTCCAGAAACCCTCAGTATTCCTGGTATTCGAAACATCACATTTAAAAATACAAATAGCTTCAGGGAACAGTTGTCCGTGCCATTTTTGGTTTTGGCTTTATATTTGGAACCAAAGACCCTAAATCACAGATTTTAGGGCCAGAAGGAACCTTAAAAGAAACCTAATGTGACTCCAGGAGGAAAGCTGCTAGCAAGTGATAGTATTGGAGCTGGAATTCAGGTCATTCCACTACACAGTGCAGCCTTGACAAAGGGAAGAAGCTTTCCAAAAAACATTTAAAGTTCTGAAAATCATCATTCAGGTTTAAAAATGAAAAGTTATTTACAAAAATAAACTATTAATTTATAGCATTTCCTTTGTCCTTGAAAGCTAGAATTATTCCTATTAATAATAAAAATAAAATTTATGGGATTACAGAGGTAGTATTCTTTGCATAGGAAATATCTTTGACAAACTAAATTATGTTGTTGTTGTTGTTATGTGTCCCGACTCATAGCAACCCCTCCTTGGGTTTCCAAGGCAGTATCACTATGGAAATAGATTGCCCAACCTTCCTTCCGAGACTAAATTATATCCATATCAAAATATGGGTCCAGCCAGAGCATGGTTAAGGTGTCAATTAGGACACAGACACCAAATTAATCAGATCAGTCACAAGATGGCACTGCAACACCATCTGTACCAGCGTAAAGCTTGCCTTAGGAGACGGAATTGATGCATTTGAATGATGGTGCCGGCGAAGAACACTGGATATACCATGCACTGCCAGGAGAACAAATATGTCTCAGAAGAAGTACATCCAGAATACCTTAGAAGGAAGGATGGCAAGACTTCATCTCACATATTTTGGACATGCTTTCAGGAAGGATCGGTCCCTCCAGAGGGACATCATGCTTGGTAAACTAGAGGGACAAAGTGAAAGGAAGACCCTCATCAAGACTGATTGACTGCAACAATGAACTTAAACATATCAACGGCTGTGAGGGTAACCAAGAACCAGGCACTATTTCATTCTGTTCTACATGGGGTCACTATGAGTTTGAACTCACTCAGCAGTACCTAACATATCATTGAAGAAAATGTCACTAAGAAGTATTTCCAGTTTTAAAGTTTATGTAGTGGTATGAAGAATAATTTGGTAGTGTAGTGCCTAAAGCATCTGACTGCTAACTAGAAGGCTGGCTGTTCAAACCCACCAGCCACTCCTCGGGGAAGACTAGGCAATCTACTTCCACAGTGATTTAAAAAAAAAAAAAAAACCTCACTGCCATCGAGGCGGTATCACTATGGAAGTAGACTGCCCAATCTTCCTTGCAAGGAGTGGCTGGTTAGGGTTACAGTTAAGGTTAGGGTTTGGCTTAGGATAGCACCTTGGAAACCCAAGGAGGGGTCACTATGAATCAGATCTGACTCAACGGCAGTGAGCTTTTGTGTGTGTGTGTGTGTGTGTGTGGAATAATTTGACAATAAGTGTCCAAGCTACATATTTTACCAAATTGATTCACAGTAAAATGAAACAGAAATGGTTTCTTAGAATAAATAGATTCCACTGTCTTTATTAATGTTTATTAAGTACTATGCTTGCTAAAGGAGCCCTGGTGGCACAGTGTTTCTAACACAGTGACTGCTAACCAGAAGGCTGGCAGTTCAAACCCACCAACCACTCCACAGAAGGAAGATGGGGGCAATCTACTTCCTTTAAGATGTACAGCCTCTGAAACCCAATGGGGGTCACTATGAGTCAGAATCAACTCAACAGCAGTGGGTATATATGCTTGCTAAAGTAGAGCATCAGCAAAAGAAGAGGAAAACCCTCAACAAGATGCATACAGTAGCTGCAATGATGGGCTCAAACACAGCAATGACTGAGGATGGCCCAGGACCAGGCTGTATCTCCTTCTGTTGTACACAGGGTTACTATGAGTTGGAACTAATTCGACGGCACCTCACAACATGACAAGCACTATATTCTAAATGCCACCAAAATAACTATAGATTACACCACAAACAAAAGCAAAGCTGTCTGTCATAAGTCTTTAGAGAAAGAGGTTTCAGAAATATGATCTCCCTCCCTCAGCTGAGGCTGATGAACTGCCTGGGCTATATTGTTTTCCACCAGGGAAGAATCCCATACAGTCTTGGCCATCAGGATCTCTTTAGGAATCCAGGGTCATACCAAAAAATACCAACCCCTCCTACACACTCCTTCATTTGAATACGTGAACAAAAATCAGATGGTTGATTACAGGATTCAATTTACTCAATAGACAGATGGTGTTGATAGGCGGTGCCATGTGGTATCAGCTCAGGCCTCAGCTGCACCTCCTAGATATGCAACCGAGAGAAGACTAACCTTTCTGAGTATCAGCTTCCTTATCTGTAAGATGAGGGTATAACAGTACCTTCCTGAAGGTAGTAGTATGAGGATTAAATGAGATAATACATGATCAAGCTGAGAAGTACACCTGATAGACGATGAGTATTGAATAAATATTAATTAATGATGGCAGTGGTGACAGTGGTTGTACCAGATTCCTAAGACTCCAGTTAGTATTATTACATATGCAAAGCTCTTAGCACAGTGTGTAGCACACAGTTAGGCACTCAGTAATAATAACAAATGGTAACTATAATACCTAGATCCTATATGTATGGGAGTTAAACTGCTCTGACATGACACAAGGAAATCAATGAGGATCGTACGTTTAACCTACTTCTGGCTTAGCTAGAACAGACTCAAGCTCTCAAGGAGCTACAGAATAAGAGTTCTTCAGATTCAAAAGGTCTCAAGATGTGTCTGTAACACACACCTTGAGGGAGTAGGTCACTGGGCCCACGGACTGGGGACCAAGATCATGGAGAACATCAAGCTCAATTGTCACAACATGGTGTACAAAAATATTATTCTACATCTTACTTTGGTGAATAGCAACTGGGCTCTTAAAAGCTTGCAAGCAGTCATCTAAGTAGCAACTATTGTTCTGCTCTCATACAGAGCAAAACACCATGAAGAAAATCAAAGATGCATGGCAACAGTTAGTCCAAAGGACTAACAGACCATGACTCAACCTACATGACTCAGAGACTAGATGAACTAGATGGTGACCAGCTACCAATATCACCCACTCAAAAAGGCATCAAAATTGAAGATCCTGTATGGAGTGGGAGAAAAACGTGGAATAAAACTCAAAATCATAAAAAAAAAAAAAGACCAAGCTTACTGTCTGATAGAGACTGGTGAGACCTCTGAGACTATGGCCTCTAATAACCTTCGGGACTGGAATTAATCTCACTCCTGTGGCTTAACACTCAGACAAACAATAGACAGGTCTATGAGCTGAATGGGAACTCTGGTGGCGTAGTGACTAAGGCATTTGCCAATCAGAAGGCTGACGGTTCAAACCCAACACCCACTTCTCAGAAGGAAGGTTGAACAATCTACTTCCTTAGTGGTATCGCCTGGGAAACCCAAGGAGGGGTCGCTGAGTTGGATCAGTGTTGTTGTGTTGCATATGAGCTGAACACCTGCACCAGGGAGATGCACTCCTTAGAACAGTCAACCATGGAAGATCAGAAGGGCAATATTTGCACAGGGAGAAAAGCAGGGAGACAAGACGCATAGGCAAGAAGGTAAGCACAGGAAGGAAGTGGGACACGAGATGTTACACTGCCAGGAGTATAAGCAGGATCACGACACAAGATGTACATATGAACTGCTGAATGTGAAATGAATCCGCTTTGTAAGATTTCACCCAAATGACAATAAAAAGTTGAAAAAATATGCCCCTGCCCCTCCAAGGGCTTCTTTCCATTAAACGGACATGGAGTCCAATTTAGATCTATAGCCTTGGCTCGGAAATCAACTTACCAACTAGGAGTTTGGGAATTTCTGGGTGAAAATTAATTTTCCTGAGACTTATTATACTGAACAAACTGAGAGAATTTCGTCCTGATCTGCAAGTGCCAACTTTGGAACCACTCACCACCCCAAACTTCTCACATCCTTCACTCCCCCGACCCCATCCCACAAGGCTAGGATGAGAGAAGTATCCTCCTTCGTCCCTTATTCTGTCAGAGAGAAATTAAAGTTTTATGGGGGTGGGGGAGATGTCTTATATAGAATATAAATAAGACATTATTGTAAGATGACGAGCACATTAAATTAAAATTCTCCCAGCGTTAACAAGTACAAACACTAACAATTAGATGTTGGCACAGATATCTCTGCCCTTCCAAGATCTGGCAGGCAAATGCTGCAGCAGCCCAAACTATGCTGGTTCTGTGAAGCAGGATTTGTTGTTAGTGTAACAGGAGTATGCAAATTCTTTTTAGGAAATCATCTGGAACTGGATGTAGAATCCTTGGAATAGTCTGTAGGCCAAATTTACATCATGCATGGGACAGTCTCTCCCTCATTTTAATTCACTCTTAAAAAGCTGGCATGAAGCTTGTTCAAGTCACTGTCAGTAACAGAGTCTTTTCTTTTGAGGGACAAAAGAAAAAGAACATATAATTGATGTTAACCATTGAGCCTGCAAATAGCTTTTTTCCATTTTTAAGTGTTGTCACGTTTAAAGTAATTGGCTATGGTTTGAGAGATTAAAGGTCAAGAGTTGTGTGTCCTGGGTTTAGAATATTCAGGGTAAGGTTTGCACACAATAAAGAAAAACAAAGCATCATGTTTCAGATGCCGGCAACAATTCGAGCGTGGTCTCAATGGGAGTATATTCACCCTTCTTGGCCTACATTCCAATGACTGGACATTGAATACAGGGAATAAGTATGTCTCCTGCAAACAAAGGGATGACCAATATCATAGGGGAGTCAGCAGAAGTGTCAAGGATTTCCTCAAGCTAAAACTAAGCACTGAGTATGGGTAAGTGAGAATCTATTTAAAAAAAAAAAAAAAAAAAAGCCTCTTGCACTCTGGTCATGACTGGATCCAGGTTTTCATTCACCAGTGAACATGTGGGCCATGAGTAAACTCCAAGCACTTCAAGCAGAGAGAAATCCAAGTTCCTTGGCATGATATAAAAAAGGTAGCCATATAATTTTGCATTCAAATCCAGACACTTTTAAGAGTGAAAGGGGGTGCTATTAATAATTATGTCAAGACAACAGGCATAAGCCAGGACTGTCGTGGGCAAGCTGGGATGGATGGTCACCCCACCTAAAGGTCAGTAACCAGACGGATGTTCAGTATCAAGTCTGACAGGTATGGCTACCTGAGAGACAGGATGACACTAGAGATTACCTATCAATTTCAGGAATTGCTTTCCTTTTCATTAATATTTTACTGCCTGCATTTTTGCAAACAATTATTAACAAAGTAAAGGTAAGAAGAGTAAAAGTGTTATAGAATTCACTAAGTGCTCTTTTCATTAACAGTCAATGTGCTATGTAACTTAAATCCTTACGAGAAATAGGAAATACAGGGAAAAAATGTTTTGTTAGTACATTTCATACCTTTGAAGACTGACCTATGATCATCAGTTTTCTGCAAATAGTGTAAATGTAAATGGTACCTAGATGGAGAAAAAGATCATTAACATACATGTTTTACAGCCAGATGGTGGAAAGTTTATATTCCAGTCTCTATGGTTTAGGCCTACAGTTCCTAAAACAAGTGCTCTCAGGAGGAAGTCTGACAATGATAGAGATTTGTAATATATATTTTTTTGTAACTTGTTGACAAAACCATTGAAGGAACTAATATGACCTTATTTTAAGTATATCAATTGGCACAAGGAACTTTTAGTCTCATTTTTAACAGCTTTTATGGATTTGAAATACACTGAACAAAAAAATATTTTTAGTGGCTCAATTTATATAGTCTATGGTTTTATAATTTCATATAAAATGTTATTGTTTCCCATGGTTTCTTTATGCCTAAAAAACCAGAGATTTATCTCCAAATAAGATTGCAATACATATTTAATCAGCATGGCACAAAAAAACTCAATAATTTATAAATCATAACACAGAATAGGTGACATTATATTCATTTTCAGTCTCATATAACATTTATCCTGTTGTTAAGGTACATCTTATAAGCACTCTAATAATATACAGGATTTCCGACACCAATTTAAGATCACACAAACATGATTTTGCATCAGGACATTAATGAAGTGAGGATACAAGGTTGGTGTCAGGGTTGTGGGGAGGGATGGGATAGCATCATCATACATCTTTCCATATGCAGAGGACATCAGTACACTCTAAACATACTCAAAAGATAGTGCTTTAAAAGGGGATGTAATTGTAATGACAAGTCTGCTAAATATTTCTTATAAAATATCTGATCTAAAATCCATCATCATGAAAATTCATAAATATGTATGCTATGTTCATGTTTAAATTGCAAAAACGTCTAAGAAAACAGCAGCTGCTTCACTTGATTAAAATGCACCTGCAAGCATAATAAACATTAATTATATGATACAGAGACAAGAAATATTGAATAAAACCTGAAACATGGGTAGCACCATACATTTCACAGAGATGCAGCAAACCCCTTAACAGGCATGGACTCAGCACTCTTAGTGCTGTCTCCATGAAGGGTCATTATTCATTTGCTAAAGATCCACTGGGGAAGAAAGCTCTCGGCTGGTCACAGCCCCATGTGTTTATTTCAACTTGGCTTTGTTAACTTCTTCTCCTAATCTCAAAAATAAAATAAAATTGTCTAACTGTGTTTCTTTGTGAAATAATAATAATCACCAAGCCTATGCACAGGAAACACATGCCTGTCCACAAAACACGTGACTCAGGTGAAGCCAGTCTGTATCAACATGTCAGTAACAGGGAACTGGGGAATTTCAGGCCTCAGGGGACTGATCTCAATAATGACTAGGGGCCTCCGTGTTTCAAAAATGTGCCTTCAACCATTCCAGGTGTACTAAGTCCTAAATATAATTGCATCCTTCTTTGATGGTTCAGGATCTGGACATGACTTATGAATACCCACTGCAGAAACTTGCCAAAGAAAGTAAATGGTATAGAATGGGACATTGACAGAATTTTTATGATCTCAGGCTATCTTTGGAACTTTGTTTTGCTTTGACTCCAATCCCTAATATGAGCTACAGCCTGGCCATGGACTCCTATTCATCAAAGATGGCCACCACCAAAACAATCTATCTGAGGGTTTAAGTTATTTGGGTTCAGTTTAGCTGAGAAATAAGATGCTATCTGATATCCATACACCCAGTTGGATTGTCTAAAAGAACCAAGATGTTGAATATCTTAAGAACCAAGTGTGTGCATGTATAATAGTCAATTCAAAGTAAAAAGAGTGTTAACGTCTAATTGCAATGGTCAAATATACTGATAAATCGTGGGCCAATTCAACATCTATTTTTGACACTTGAAATTGCAAACTTCCAAAATTACAGGGTCTTTGTATTTTCTCTGCCCCAGTTGGAAGACCCTTCCCCCAGATATCCTCTCATTACCTCACTTTCTTCAGGTCTTTGCTCAAGTATCTTCTCAGTAAGGCCTTCGATGATCATCCTATTTAAAACCACAGCCCACCCTTAGCCCAATTCCTGCTCTGCCTATCTCTTCCTTGGCTTTATTTTTCTCCACAGTTCTCTCATCACCATCTGACACATTTAGTTGTAGCTTGAAGTTTTAATTTTAGATTTTAATCATCTCTCTATACATGAGAAGAGAGTGATTTCTCTGTTACCCTCTCCTGTGTCTCCAGCACCTAGAATAAAACCTGACACATTGTAGGCACTCAATAAATTTCACATGAATAGATGAACACTGGGATAGTGGTTAGTGAAATTAAGTGTGTGTGTTTCCCACAACTCAGCTATTCCACTCCTGGGCATAGATCCCAGAAAACTCTCACATGGGTCCATAAAAGGACATGTGCAAGGATATTCAGTGCAGAATGTGTTATGCAGTTACAGAGAAGCAAACCAGGTGCTCATCCCTGGGGGTGTATGGATAACTGCAATACAATTCAGCAGTCTGAGTTAAAGAACTAGATCTACGTACAGGAACCTGACTAGATTCTCAAACTACATTAATGAGTAGACAGTTGTTTAAGAAAAAAGAATAAAATCTAGAGCACAATAGCACATGTATATATAAAAAGCATACATCAAGTACAGGATGTAGGAGATACGTAATTTTTTTTTAATATTGGGATGTTTTGGGTATATAAATAAGATTTTTAAGAATGTTTTGGGTATATAAATAAGATTTTTAAGAACTATCTATAGGGGATCAAAGTGACAACAGCAACTCAAAGATTAGGTAGGAACCTTAGGGGACAGTGGGTTTATGTTCATGGGAAAGAACAACTCAGAAAAGGAGAGTGAGACTAGTTACGCAACTTGAAGAATATAATCAAGGTCACTGAACTGGACAGGTAGACACTGTTGAATTGGGGAATGTTTTGGTGTGTATAGTCTCAACATCAAAGAAAGAAAAGACTAAAGACAGGGAGTCATGCTGCATCATGTCTACATGTAAGCACAGCCCAGCTCACAGGGCCCAACCCTCCAGCCCTCTGGCCCTATGTCCCTCTTAAGCACAAAATCTCTGCTCTTGCTCCATTCTTGCCAAGATGTATGAGCAATGTGGGTGGAGAGATGGCAGTGGCAACTCAGGGAATCACGGATCCTCCTAAGGGTGACCAGGCATAAAAAGTTAATAATCATCAGACTGAAAAATCTCATCAAAAGTTGGACTCATCTCTGGCAACCAATGTAAAATCAAATTTAAATCAAAGGTCAAAAAAAAATTGTGGGTGGCAAGAAGGCCAATGTTTAAAGTGGACAAGGAAACATCCAGTAGTTTTCTTTCACATCATTTTATCCTGGTCTTATGTACATCAGACACTGTCATTATTTTTCTTTTAAGGATATACAATTCAGTGAGCAATTCATTGTAACTTTAAAAAAGACAAAATCAAACGCTACATTTTGATAGCTAAGATTCATTATTTATCATGAGATTAAAAAAACACAAACATAAAAAGGTACATTCTCAGAACTCCTCACTCAAAAACAAGTTAACAGCCCTGAGGTAAGAGAAAGCTCACAGGTAGAAAGCCAGAGTCACCAGCCAAGCTGCCTGAGGAAAGGACCCATATGTGGATGATGCTTGGAACCAATCTCACCTGCAGTGACCTTCCCACTTCTACTCATTGTGGCTCCTGCTTTTTAGACACCTCAAGCCAGTTATCCCCAGAGCCTCTGATCCTTCCTTCAGTGTAAAACCCAAAGACATGCTTTATATGTCCCTACTTGCTACAGTCTCAACTTTCTCCCCACCAAAATGTTGGAATCCTAACCCCTTTATCTGTGGGTGTAATGTGATCTAATATAATGTAATCATCTTCCATAATGCAATCTACAGTGATGTAATCAGTCTGTTGAGGTCATACCCATGTAGGGCAGATCCAAAACCTAATCACGTCTGAGTTACACAAACAGCAGACTAGACACAGAGAAACAGGAAGACACCTGATGAGGGTGAAAGCAGATGAATCCGCAAGCCCAGGAACTCCAAGGATTGCTAGCTACTTTTTGTTGTTGTTGTTATGTGCCGTCGAGTCGGACCCAACTCATAGTGACCCTTCCTTGGGTTTCTGAGGCAGTATCACTATGGAAGTAGATTGCCCCATCTTCCTTCCAAGGAGCTAAAAGAGGCAGAGGACCTCCTCCCAAAGCCATGCTGTAAATTTGTACTTCTAACCCCTGAACTGTGAGAAAATAAATTTCTGTTCTTTAAAGCTACCCTACTTGTGGTATTTCTATAACAGAAGCCCTAGGAAACCGAGACACTGCTTTTATGAGGTTGTCTTAGTTCTGTAGTGCTGCTATAACAGCCACACCTCAAGTGGATGGCTTTAACAGACAGTAGTTTATTCTCTTACAATTTAGGAGGCTGGAATTCTGAATTCAGGGTGCCAGCTCTAGGGGCTGAGTGAAGGCCCCTTGACCTTGGGCTTCTGCTCTGCTTCTTGTTCCAGGCCCACAGGAGCTTGAGTCCTCTCCTAACTAATGCAGCTGCTGGCTGCTAAGGCTGATGAACTCAAGACCAACAGGTAAAATGGCACAATCCCAAGATCAGCAGGCAACACAGCAGGCCACTGATTCAAGTCCAGGAATAATTCCAGGATCAGCAGGCAACACAGCAGGCTGCTAGCTCAAGTCCATGAACTAGAGATGAAGACTCAGCCAAATGCAACATCCGAAACTGGCCAAAAAGCTAGAGACCTTGCCCAAAGCTTCTCCACATATATTTGAAGCAGGTCACACCCTGAAGGCAACTCCCCTCCAACTGCAGATTCCATCAAGGAGTTGATTACACCACATCCAATCTCATCACAAGGAATAACTACATCCAGCTGCCAAGCCACTCAAAATCATGGCCCAGCCAAGTTGACACACAACCTTCGCTACCAGATGGCAAACTGAAATGTAAGGAAATTTTTTAAATACAATCATCCTATTATGGAATGGATGTGATTTAAATCACAAGGTACTCCATATTTTGGCAT